GGTTAGAGACACATAAGCATTCTCACTTGATACAAATTCTGAATGGCTAAAAAGTACCACTAAATTGACTATTAAATTTACATTGATGGGTGCTTCCAATTTCAGGCTGAAAACAAAGCATGCTGAGCCAATTTAACTTACTTTTGCCTTCAGGGAAATGACAGTTTAAATAAACTCTGGATTAGAATACTATCATAAAATTAAGAAGAATACATTCTACTAAAGGCTTTTTTATTTATGTAGTACTAATTCTAGCAGGATATTTGATGTGATAAATTATGACATTATTGTAGTAATCCTTTCTACCAGTATGAAAACAATGTGAAATAAAAGGACCACCTAGGGAGCAATTTATATTAGTAAACAGACTTGTCATTAATCTATTGTTTAGAGAAGCTGCATTAAAACCTTGGCACTTCTCCTACATAAGCAGATGTACCATCTATCAAGGTAGAGATGAAACGGATTAACTATTACTGGCTTTGATCACTGTCTGTATTGTTTATTATTACCTGACAAAGTACAAGTCATGTAGATAGCTGCTATTTTACAAGTTCTTGGGATAAAGACACAAGCAATACACTCAGTAATACAGTTTTTAGATCTGGTTGTTAATAAAACATAAATGTGTTATGAAACACAGAAGTAAACCAAAGTGTTTTGCATTTTGGGACATTTTCACAAGATTTTATATTAATATGTCTTATCACTACTTTTACATTTGTTGTTGAAATCACTTTGTTATACTTATGTCTTAGATTTTAAAGTAAATTTCATTACTTTTTATAACTTACAGAGGGGAGAGCAATAACTAAAATTAATTGAGCCAACATTGAGATAGACTAAAGCCCCCTCTCCCTATTCTTTAAATATGTTTTACAGTCTGCAAAGAACTATTTTTTTCTTTTAAGACTGTTTCATATGTAAGATGCTACATACTTAGACTTAGTAATATAAAGACCATGGACGTGAAATAATTATTTAAATAATTAACTTAAATGTAATTTTCTTCTAAATGTTATTTTTTATTTTATTTTTTTGGTGCCAGTACTAGGGCTTGAACCCAGGGCCTGGTTGCTACCCTGAACTTTTTTTCTCAAGCTTAGTGCTTTCCACTTGAGTCAGAACCCACTTCTGGCTTTTTAGTAGTTAACTGGAGATAAGAATCTCATGTACTTTCCTGATTGGGCTGGCTTCAAACTACAATCCTCAGATCTTAGCCTCCTGATTAGCTAGGATTATAGGCCTGACCACAGGTATTTGGCTCAAATGTTGTTTTTAAAAACCTGTATCATGTCATATTGTATTTTATAGGCTTTTAAGATTGAATTTTATGGGCTAGGAAGGTGGCTCAGTGGTAAGAGTGCTTGTTTTGCATGCATGAGGCCCTGGGTTCAATTCCTCAGCACCACATAAACAGAAGAAGCCGGAAGTGGAGCTGTGGCTCAAGTAGTAGAACACTAGCCTTGAGCTGAAGAGCTCTCAGGGACAGTACCCAGGCCTAAAGTTTAAGCCCGATGACTGACAAAATAAAAATAAAAAAAATAAAAAATTGAATTTTATAACCTCAAACTTAAAAGAAAAGTGATGTATCATAATTCATGGACTAGTTATTCAATAATTTTTCAGATATTTAAGGGTAAGTCAGTAATCAGAAATTGGTCTATAAATGCAGCATATGTCCCTATTAAGTAAAAAGCATATTTGAAAAATTAAAGTATATGTAATAATATCAAGAACAGAGTCTGTATCTACAGAAAAGACTGAGTTCTTGTAAAAGCCTTAGTTATGTCCTTGTGGAAATGGGAACAATAACATGTTCTCTACTGCTAATCAGTATTTTCTTTAGGCTTTGTAGTTTGGCCTCATGTCTTTACCAAACCTTTTTACCAAACCAAACTTTGAAAGCATGATAGCAATATTACCAGGGGCTCTCTTAGGTCTATTTTTTAAAACTATCTCTGATTTTACTATCCAAGAGATGTAAGACCTATTAGTTCCCTATACCTAGTGACTCCCAAGGAGTCACTAATAGCTTAATCAACCTAAGAGAATCTCATCTTCATGGATCATGAGCTTTTCATATAAACTACCCATATGAACTATCTGAATGATAGTAATTGTTATAGATTTGTTTCTTGTCCCTGAGATATGAAAGATAAAAAGTATGGGGGGCTGGGAAGGTGGCTCAGTGGTAGAGCGCTTGCCTTGCATGCATGAGGTCCTGCATTCAATTCCTCAGCACCACATAAGCAGAAAAAGCTGGAAGTGATGCTGTGTCTCAAGTGGTAGAGCGCTAGCCTGGAGCTGAAGAGCTGAGGGACAGTGCCCAGGTCCAGAGTTCAGGCCCACAAGCAATAACAACAACAACAAAAGATTAAAAAGAAGTATGGTAGAATAGAAGTATGGTACTGATATTTCAGTTCTACTTAGGCAAATATTTTCTTCCTTAGGCTGGATTTAAATTAATTTTCTTTTTAAATAATCAAATGACAAATGAGAAAAAAATGACAAAAAAACTTGTTTTATGTATAGGTATCAATCTGTACTTCTTGTGTCATTGCTGAATATTTCTCTGCCCTTAATTTTGTGAAAATATGCTTTCCAAAAAGCAAATTGTGTCCTCCAAACAAGGTAAAAGTGTTAGATTAGATTTGTTGAAGACCGTATGTGTGTAGTGGTATGTATTTGGGCAGTGTTATGGGACAAATGAATCAAGCATCTTCAGTCCAGTACTGAATTCTGCATCCTGAGCATTTCCTTGGAACCACAGATTTTGCACATATCAAGAGTCTACTGTACATACCAATTTTCTCATCTATAAAACAGGGATACTACTGCAAATGGGTGTTGTAACTATAACATATATGAAAGATATAGCCAATAAGTGATACTTTTTTTCATCAAAGAGTGCTATTATTGGGCTAGGGGTATGGCTCAAGTGCAGAGTGCTTGCCCAGCAAGTGAAAGCGTTGAGTTCAAACCCTAGTACCGCCAAAAAAAAAAAAAAAAAAAAAGGTCTAATGAAAGATATTACGATTATCTTTCCTACTCAGGTAATAGGCTAGAAAAAGTAGTAGCCATTGATTTCTCCTGTCCTCTTATCCCTCCACTTCAACTTGGCCAGGTTCTATAGGTGTTATTCCATAATATTTTTCTTTCTATTAGTACACAAAGTAATGAGATTCATTCTGATATTTCTATGCATGTATATTATGTACTTTGATGATAGACACCCACTCTATTACCCTTTTTTTTTTGGGTCGGTTGTGAGGCCTGAACTCTGGGCCTGGGTGCTGTCCCTCAGCTTTTCAGCTCAAGGCTAGCACTCTATCACTTGAGCCACAGCACCACTTCTGGCTTTTTCTGCTTATGTGGTGCTGAGGAATCTAATCCAGGGCCTCATGCATGCAAGGCAAGCACTCTACCACTGAGCCACCTTCCCAGCCCCCTCTATTACCCTCTTTCTTCAGCACCCTTCCAGATCCCTAATAAGTCCCTTTCACTTTCATGTCCTTTCTTGATTGTAGTTTCTACTTTTAATTCACAGATGTAAACCCAACTATTTGAACAGCCTTCCTAGTACTACAAAGGAAAAATGTATAAAAGAAAGTCTCCAAGTGGCAATATCTTGGACTTTATGAATATGCAGTTACCTCTACTCCCTTGCTTCCCCAGATATTTTATAGTCTTGGGGGCTGATGCTGAGATTCCTGTTGTAGGTGGCTACCCTCCTTCACTGAGTTCACAATTAAATGCTGGTTAAACATGAGCATGTCCTCTCTTTCTCTCCCACATACTGTATGTGTGTGCCTGTTTGTATTTGTGTGTTCAGTCTCTTCCTAGCTACAGTTCAATCTGAAATAGTGGAAATATTTAATATCACTAAAAAAAAATCAGACCGAAGCCAGGCACTAGTGGCTCATACCTATAATCCTAGCTACTTGGGAGGCTGAGAAAGAGAGGATCATGGTTCAAGGCTAGTCTGAGACCCTTCTCAGGCATTGTATGCCTGTCATTCTATAGCTACATGAGAGGCTGAGATTGGGAGGCTTGTATTTCCAGAACAGACTGGGCAGAAAAGTCCTAGGGATGTCTTCCCAATGGAGATCCCTTCATAGTGTTGTGGCATGTACCTGTCATCCCAGCAACTATAAGAAGCCTAAAATAGGTGAATCATGGTCTAGGAATATACCTGGGCAGGAAAAACGATCTTATCTCAAAAACCAACGGGGTACTGTTGGCTCATACCTGCAATCCTAGCTACTTGGGAGGCTGAGATCTGAGGATGGAGGTTTAAAGCCAGCCTAGACAGGAAAGTTCGTGAGACTCTTATCTCTAATTAACTACAAAAATTCAGAAGTGAGCTGTGCCTCACTTGAGTAAAAATGAGCTGAGGGACAGCATCCAGGCCCCAAATTCAAGCCCAGTACTGGGAAAAACCCCACCAGCCAAAGACTGGTGGGGAGTTGTGGCTCAGTAGTAAAGCTTTTGCCTAGCAAGAATGAGATCTTGAATTTAAAACCTGATACTACAACTACAACAACAAAGTCTGAAGAAATTTATTTCTGTTTTTTAAAAAAAGGTAACTTGGAGGCTTTTGAGCTTTGTGATAAAAGGCACATTACTTAAAAGTTTCTATTATTCTTACTCTTTTTTTCTTGTTAATAATTTTAATGTCTTTGACAACTATTTTTACAAACATATATATGATATGAAACCTTTTTTACTGTATTATAATTCCCTGAATAAAAAAAATTCCCTAAACATATAGATAAGTTTAAGCTTACTTCTTCTATTGAAATCTTATGTGCTGATGACTCACTTTGCTCAAGATAATATTTTGGAAAATGTAACAAACATTTTTTAATGTGCAAATGATTTCTTAACATTTTATAATGTAAGTAGTAAACATAATTTTGATAGTTATGGAAGTGTAAATTTATTGCACAAGCATCAAGTGCTTTATGATAACTTCCAAATACTGAGCACTTTCTTACCTTAACAAATTCCTTTTTCTCAATCCTCTCATTCCCATCTGCATCCAGCATTTTAAAAGCAACATGAAACCCTGTATGAGGTTCTGCAATGAAGTGAAAAATGAGTAAATTTCCTAAATGTTTGGTGAATCACAACTTATTTATAGATACATCTTCAAGTTTGAAACAAACCACCAGAAACTCTATGAGCAAGCACCTAGGCAGAGAAATGACCCTTTTCAGATAATTTTCAAAGGTAGGTAGGTGGCAAAGGTTTTGCTCCTACCTTCTCTAGCACTTTTTCCATGGAAACTCTTTTCTACTCTTCAATGTAAAATTAATTTGAAAACTCATTTAACTCCATCAAGGGCTATTCTTACAAAACTTTGTCTAATTTCATAGTGGCTGTTACTTTTTTTTTTTTTTGGGTCCAGTCGTGGGGCCTGAACTCTGGGCCTGGGCGCTGTCCCTCAGCTCTTCAGCTCAAAGCTAGCGCTCTACTACTTGAGCCACAGCAGCACTTCCGGCTTTTTTCTTTTTGCTTATGTGGTGCTGAGGAATTGAACCCAGGACCTCAGGCATGAAAGGCAAATGCTCTACCACTGAGCCCCCTTCCCAGCCCCTGTGCTATTGCTTTCTGGTGAAGTTCTACTTGAGCCTCACCTTCAGTCTAGCATTTTGCTAGTTAATTGGAGATGCAATCTCTTGTACTTTTCTGCTTAGGCCAACTCTGAACTGAGATCCTATAGGTTTCAGTCTCAAGTAGCTACAATTATAAGCATGAGTCACAGGTGCCTGGATACATCAGTAATTTTTAATAATGACACAAATGCCAAACTTTGCAAATCCTGATAAGAATAGAGAATTACTGCCTTGCATTGGTGGCTCACGCCTGTAATCCTAACTACTCAGAATGCTGAGACCTGAGGATCTCAGTTCAAAGTCAGCCTGAGCAAGAAAGTCTTTGAGACTCTTATCTCCAATTAATCACCCTCCCCCCTCCCCATTCCCTTCCAAAGCCAGAAGTGGAGCTGTGGCTCAAGTCTTAAGTAAGTGGTAGTGTACTAGACTTTAGCAAAAAAAGCTCAGGGTCAGTGCCCAGGCCCCAAGTCCAAGACTCAGGACAAACAAACACACGTACACACACACATACACACACACACACACACACACACACACACACACACACACACGCACACGCACAAGATTATCACGATTATTATAAAAAATGGTGGATACTTACTAGTGAGGATTGTAAGCAAGAAAAGATACTCAGTATATGAAATAAGCCCTGAAAAAGAAAAAAAAAAAAACACCAGGAAATAAGTTTTAGATGGTTTAAAAGTAACGACACAGGGATGTTAAAGCTCATAGAATCCACAAACTTTATAGACCATGATAATGACAATTTGCCTTGTGAAGGTTAAAATGTGTTTATAACTTTAACTAAGTATCACTATTCCACAATATTGTGAAATATGTGAAATTAATGTAATCAGCTAATCTCAATTAAAAAAAAAGCAAAGAAAGTGAGAGAAGGGATGGGTTAGGAGTAATGGGTGACCATGTTATCAGACACTTTGTATTCATATACTGTTTTGTAGAATGGGAACTTCTTTGTATAACCACTTAAAGATAATAACACTTTAAAAAAAATAATTACATAGGGATGTTAACACTGAAACTTCACCTAAGTAAAAATACCCTTACTTTTTACTTTAAATCACCCCTCTTTGTCACAGTAGAAAAGTTTTATAACAAAGATACTATAACTGAAGATACTATTTTTTAAAAAATCAAGTTGCTAGTAAGGAATGTGTCATAATTAATTTTAAGTGTCAACTGAACTTGGCCAAGGAATGCCTCAATTGAAATTCATTTATTTTTTCTTTTTCTTTTTTTGTTGGTCATGGGGCTTGATTTCTGGGCTGGGGCACTGTCCCACAGCTCTTCAGCTCAAGGCTAGCACGCTACCACTTGAGCCACAGTGCCACTTCCAGTTTTCTGAGTGGTTTATTGGAGATAAGAGTTTTACAGGGGCTGGGAAGGTGGCTCAGTGGTAGAGTGCTTGCCTTGCATGCTTGAGGCCCTGGGTTCGATTCCCCAGCACCACATAAGCAAAAAGAAAAATGCCAGAAGTGGAGCTGTGGCTCAAGTGGTAGAGCACTAGCCTTGAGCTGAAGAGCTGAGGGACAGTGCCTAGGCCCAGAGTTCAGGCCCACTACCAGACCCCCCCCCTCCCAAAAAAAAAAAGTTTCACAGACTTTCCTTCCCCAGCTGGCTTTGAACTGCAATCCTCAGATCTCAGCCTCCTGAGTAGCTAGGATTACAGTTGTGAGCCATGGGCACTAGTCCTCGTGAGACTTTTATCTCTAATAAATAATTTAGAAACAGATCTGTGGGTTTTTTTTTGTTTGTTTTATATGTTCTTCCCCCTGAGGTATACCCCCTGTTGTCACTGTACTTGATTTCAATACCCTGCATCTTGTATGTACATTTGTCTAATCTGGGGAGGGAAAGGGGAATAACAAATTGCTGAAACAAGGACACAGGATGATCGAATGCAACAGCGACACCCACAGGACAGTATATTGGAAAGAAACTTTAGAACTTTGGGGGGGGGTTGGGATGGGGGAGGAGGGAGAGGGTAGGAAGAGTGGGACAACTAAGGAAGGGGCAACAATGATCGATAAGTACTGTACTCATTGCCTTACTCATGTAACTGTAACCCATCTGTACAGCATCTTTACAATAAGATAAAAATTAAAATGGAAGTGGCACTGTGGCTAAAGTGATAGCATACTAGCCAGCTCAGGGACAATGCCTAGGCCAAGCTCAAGCCCAACGACCAACAACAATAACAAAAAGAGTTATTCACTAAAAAGTCTGATTTGGTATGGCACTTCAAATTTCACTGTCCATAACATCTCAAGTGAAGGAAATTTAAAATAAAGCAGCATCAAACAAATTGAAATGTTTCAAAAGAATTTACATAATTATTTAAAATGTTGTAATTAAACCTTTGTGACAAGCAGTGATGGCTACACTTCTAATTCTGGCTACTCGGGAAGCTGAGATTTGAAGAATGAGTTCAAACTTAGTGGGGCAGGAAAGTCCACGAGACTCTTCTTAAGCATCAATTTACTACCAAAAAAGGAAATAGAGATGTGGCTCAAGTGACAGTTTCAGGCTTGAGCAGAAAAGCTAAGGGATAGCACCTAAGCTCTGAATTCAAGCCATTAATGACATATGCAAATATCTTTGTGGCAATACTTTTAATTCTCATTGAGAAAGTATCCTTCCTCATTCACAAACATTCAGGAGATGATGAGACAGCCCTACCTTTTCCATTGGAAACAGATACTGACTGGTCTAAGCCAGTCACTGTATTCCTGTGGAACTGAAGGAAGAATGGGAAAGTAGCTTGGGCCCAAGCTAGTGAGCAGCTCGCAATAGTCTAACTTCAGTGACTTGTTCAAGGATAGAGCAAGAGTTAAGAAGGGCATCTTAAAATGGTGCTTACAGGATTTCTGGAGAGAATTTGGAGCCACTGACTTATTTTTTGGGGTGGCAGGATATAGCTGGACTTTGATGATTTGAGAATATTAAATTTAAGACCATGGAGAGAATACCCGGAATTGTCACAGGCCAGTATTTAGAGGCTGAGAATAAAGCCTATCTTCAGTTGACAGCATTCTGAAAAATGTGTTCTTGTGATTTTTAAGCCCTAGATTAAGTTAGGTTAAACCTAATACGTTGGTGACCAAATAACCTTTTTGCTTGCTCAAGTAGATCATGTTAGGTTTTATCTTGCTCATAATGAGAAGAACATAGTGTTTGTGTGTATGTACATATGCATTTTTTTCTTCTCATGACTAAGGAATTTTCTGTTATTATTTTACTGAACAGATTATTTAGTTTATGTCTGTTGTCCTTCTTCTATGTCCATGATTTGTAGATTTGTTTTTGATGCTTTTCCTTCATATCTCATACATATTTTCTTAGTGATCTCACTTCTCTTTCCTTCCCTCTTTTCTTCTTTCTTTTCTTTTCTCTCCTTTCCCTCCCCTCCCCTTTTCCTCTCTTTTGTTTTCTGTGCCAGTTCTGGGACTTGAAGTCAGGGCATGGATGCTGTCTCTGAGCATTTTTGCCCAAGGATAGCAGTCTACCACTTTGAGCCATACCTCTACTTCCAGTTTTTGCTAGTTAGAGACAAGAGTCTCTCAGACTTTCCTGCCTGGGCTGGCTTTGAACCATGGTCCTCAGACTTCAACCTTCTGACAGCTAGGATTTATAGGCATGAACCACTCGCACTTAGTTCCTAGTGAGTTTTCAATATCTGATTGATAAAATTCCTGTTTCAGCTTCAATTTGTGATACTCTATTTTTTATTTGCTCTGTTTTATTAGGTAAGCTTTCAACTGAGTTTTTTTTTTTTATTTATATTACTGAGCTCTCATCTCCATAATTTTATTTTGGTTGTTGTTGGTTGTAGGGCCTGAACTCTGGGCCTGGGCGCTGTCCCTCAGCTCTTCAGCTCAAGGCTAGTGCTCTACCACTTGAGCCACAGCGCCACTTTGGCTTTTTCTGCTTAAGTGGTGCTGAGGAATTGAACCCAGGGCCTCATGATGCAAGGCAAGCACTCTACCACTGAGCCACCTTCCCAGCCCCTCATCTCCATAATTAAAAATTTAAAAATCTTTATTAAATAAATTCCTCTTTCATATCCTGTACTTTTTTCCTTTAGCTGTTTGAATTTTGCAAGCTCAATTATTTGCATCATTTCTAAATTCAGTTAGCTCCACACACACACACACATATATATATATATATATATATCTTTAATTTCATTAATCAGTCATTGTTTTCTGAATTTGTATGAAATTTATTTTCTTTATTATGCAGTTGTTGGCTTCTGAATGAGATTTGTTGTTTTCTATCTTTATGGATTTTGTGGTTCTACGCTGTGATTTATGCATTTGGGCTAAGCCTTAAGTTGGGTATTTTCATCTCCTATGTCATTTTAGCTACAGTTTCTCAGTGATTATTTCAGACTAGGTAGTGTAGTAGATTGGGGAAATGTGTATCAGTAGTCAAACATTTGGCTTCAATGCTCAAGAAATTGAGTGCTGTCCACTTCTGCACTCAGGGTGAGGAAAATTGGCTACAAAAGCTGTTGCATTTGGTAAACCACAAATCTTGAGATTGATGGCAATTGCTGATGAAGACTTACCATTGGGACTGCTCCTGAATTTTTTGATGCATGTAGAAGCAAAGATGAATCAAGCCAAGATGAACCATACAAGATGTATGGCTTTATTAAAAAAAATGGTGGGAATGGAGTAATATAAGTACAATGTTAAGTGCAATGTAAGCTGATGATGCATTGAGGAAGAGTAATAAAGAAGATCAAACAGATAAATACCATATACTTAAAACAAATAAATAAAGGATGATCAGGCAGACTAATTACTTGCTACAAGTATTCATAAATAAGGATCACAAAGGAAGAGATAGGGATAGGAGAAAATATAAGTGAGAGCAGTTCTACTTGTATACAGAAGAGAATTTAAATGGGGAAGGTAAATAGGAAAGGGGAGACACTGTGATTTAACCTTAAACATTGAGCAGTAGGTTTTGTGGCTCACCTACAGTGATGGGAAGAGAGAAAAACAAAACTAAAAAGACAATGGCAGTATACAAGAATCGCCTAAATCAGGTATTTAAAAATAATCACAAAGGAATAACAGTAAGAACAATCAAATCAAGACAGTGATAAAAAACAAACATAAAAAACAAAACCAGAAATTTTAGGTCTTACGGTTACATGTGCTTGCGCAGGCTTTCTCTCTGTCTCTTTCTTTCTCTCTCCTTTTCCCTCAGTGTCCAAGTCCTTCAAGCCAGTAGGTGGCGTAAGGGACTTGACTATGGAGTGGTGTCTGTTTTCCAGCATAGGGTGAAAGAATTTGGAGATGTAGATACAATCTCCAGTGAAATCTTCTGTGCTCTCAACCCCAAGTCCGACATAGTTTCCACTAAACTTGTAGCTTCACCTCCCAAGTTCCAGAGCTCACAGTAGTAAGCATCTACTCATTGTAGTAATCTACAACTGCCAGTTGGAAGCCACTATGCTGTGCTTCCAGCACCACTAACTGCCAGGACCTCCCAGATCTATGTGTGGGTTGCTGCAGTGCCTAGCCTGACTGGGTGCTCATATTATGGTCTGTGGACCAGACACTATATGGAGCCTTGGTATAGTCATGTGCTACTTAGGAGCCTCTGGGAAGTTCA